CTGAAGCCCCATCTCCTAGCGGCAGCCCAGGCGCAGAGGGAGTGAGTCCGCTCCGAGGTAGGTCCAGGACGGACGCACGACAGCAGCCGAGGCTGACCGGGAGAGGGTGAGTGTCCGCGCCTGCTGGGCAGCCGCGCAGGGGAGCTAGTCGGACAGGGCCGGTGGCTTTTATCTCCCCTTCCCCTCCCTGAAGGCTGGCAGGCCCGGGTCCCTTCGTCCACGCTGCCCAGGACAGGGGTCCAGCCTCCCTGGAGTGTGCTGGGGGCAACTGGGAGCTGCGGGGCAGGGCAGCTAGAGAAGGGTGGTGCCCATCAGACCTCCAGGCCAGAGGAGCGCCTTGGGTGCGCCTGCGGGAGAAGTGGGCAGAGGTCAGTGGCTGGCAGGCCTCTGGGGCTGGGTGCCTCTGGGGTTTGCAAAGAAGTTGGAGGAGAAGCTACCCTGAGCGATGGGCCCAGCCCATCATGGCGCATCTAATGATAAACCCACATTCCTGACTTTTATGTGAAGTTTCGTTGTTTCTAACATTGACTGCTACTTTTAAAAGCCACCCTGAGAGGCAGATGCCCTCCCGGCTCCAGGCAGGGCCTGCTCTGTGCGGTGCCACAGTCCATCTGGGGCTGGGGAGTCCCTGATTTTCCTTTTCTCTTGGCCAGGCACAGGCCTGCCTTCCTCCCAAAGTCAGCCCTAGGCGCCTTCCTTCAGGAAGCTCTACTGGCCTCACCCACCAGCCCTGGGGCTGTGCCCAACACTGCCACCTCCTGCAGCATCGGCCCTCTTTCCCACGGCTCGGCCTCTGGGGTGGCCCTCTGGCTGGGATTGGGGCTCTGGGGCTCCTGGTGACTCCCAGGGGCAAGGACAGGGCTCCTCCTCCACCCCATGGCCTTGCCACACCCTGAGGACAAGGACCAGGCACAGGTGGCATGGTTGTTGCTGTCTCCAACAGAGCTGGCAGTGAAGGCTTGGAGTCTCCATCCTGGGGACCGAGGGAAGGACAGCAGGAGGGACAGCAGGGGAGGTATGTCTGTCTACTCGACCCTGATTTCTTGGGGATGACACAGCAGCCAAGGGCCTAGGGTCCCCAGACTTCTGGCCAGCTGCCTCTGGGGGGCGAGGGACTGGCCTGGGTCCCTGAGGGAAGGAGATGTGACAGTGGGAGGGGATGGTGGGCAGGAGCAGATGTGCCCAGAGGGGTCCCCAGGGGTTGGGATGGGGGGCCAGGGGAGCTCTGAGCCGGTGGGTGGGTGGACATGGCCTGTATGTGTGTGTGTCCCTGTGTGTGGGAAGCTGCCTGTGCTGCAGTGTGATGGCATTCAGGGTGGCAGTCACACACTCCAGGGAACTGCTGGCACATACAGTTGGGGCAGCCTGGTGGGGTCCGGGCCGCCTGGAGAGTGGGTGTCCTGAGCGCTGGGCCCAGCCCATCATGACGCATCTAACGATAAACACGAATTCCTGACTTTTATGGGAAATCTCGTTGTTTCTAACATTGGCTCCTACTTTTAAAACTTTCTAAACAAGTTAAGTCAAGTCAAACACTCTTGGGTGCCTCGCCAACCCTCTAACTGCCATTTTGTAGCCTCTGCATGGAGGCTGCCATGGAGGTTGAAGGCAGGGCCTGCAGAGCAGGGCCCTATCCTGGCCCTCCCAGTGCTGGCCGTGGAATGGGGAAGCTCCACAGCCTTCTGTGCCTGGTCTCTCATCTGGGAAACGGGCAGAATGTAAGCATCTCCCCACCAGGCTCCTGTGCTGAGCAGTCACCTCCGTGAAGCCCTGGGCACATGTGGCGGTCAGGGTGTGGGAATCAGCACTGCCTGCGGGGTTGTGGCCGGGGCAGTGGGAGGAAGAGCTGGGCTCAGCTCTCCGGGCCTGTACCTGCCTGTGTAATGATGCCTGGGAGGCCTGAGCCCGCAGCCTGTATTGTGTAGCATGTGGGTGTGGCGCCTACACCCCGAGGCCCCAAGGAAGTCATTTCCCTCTAGAAACCCTGCTGTCCCCACCCTTTCCCTGCTGGCTCAGGGCTGCCTCCCGGCCCCTGTGCCACAACTGCCCTACCTGTGTTGTCACTGCTGAGGCCTCCTCCAGGCTGCACACCTTAGAGGCAGGCTACACCCTCCTGCCCTTGGCCTGAGAAGGTCTTCTCCAGCAACTCGGGGACTGCAGCCCCCAGACCCTGGGGCGGCCAGTGCCCCAGAAGCCGAGCTGAGAAAGGATTCAATGGGGAGGGCCAGTGGGCAGGGCAGAGGCTTGGGCCCCTGGGAGACCTGGCCCTAGAGAAAGAGGCGAGGTGCTCACCTTTGCCCCGGCCCTGCAGGCCTGGGTGGCTCCGCTGCCTGCCTCTTTTCTTGTCCAGGCTTCAGGCTGAGCATCTCTTAGAGGGCCTCGGGGATGCCCAGGCCTGCCCTGAAGTCTGCTGAGGACTTGGGATGGTTTAATACTGAACCCACAGCCGCCGGGGATGCCTCGGGGCGAGCCACAGTGTGTGTGTGTGTGTGTGTGTGTGTGTGTGTGTGTGTGTCTCACTCTGGGCTAACTTGTGAAAGGGTGAACAGCTCAGGGGCCCCGAAAACTTAACTCTGGGGCAGGCAGAGGTACAGGGTAGGGCAGAGGATTCAGACCCCACCCTGATGGGCCGGGCAGTCACCGCAGCACCCAACCCGGTGCAGTAAGCCACTGCGTGCAGCTGTGGCCCAGCCCCAGGCCCCAGATATTGGGAGGGGCCCCTCTCCTCCCAGCTGTGCCACCCTCACCAAAGGGTAAGTGGGCCAGGACAGAAGGAGCAGGAGGCAGAACCGTGGCCGCCTCTCAGGGTGAGCCCTCACTGGGGCCTATCATGGCCAAGCCTGACCCAGGCCCACTGGGAGCTAAAAGGCAAAGAAGAATAAACTCGGATCTGCCCTCAGGGAGCCCAGCGCTGACAGGCCCAGCGCTGGCACAAACTTGCAAACCAAAGTCCTTGAGGGCTGGAGGGGGCCTCCCTGGGCAGGGCATCCGGCCACTGCAGGGATGGCACGGAACAAGGCAGTGGAAAAGGCAGGAGTCAGAGGCCCAGGGCCCTACCTCTCGCAGCTGGGCGCCCTTGGTCCCATCACCGGCGCTCAGAGCCTCAGTTCCCACAGCTGTGCAGTGAGAGGGAGCTGAAGGCACCGACCATGGCTGTTGAGGCCTCATGTGTCAATTGTTGCTGTTCTGCAGGAGGAAGAGGATGGCAGGGCCACGCCCCAGCCCATGGGCCAGGCTGCTACTGGCAGCCTTGATCAGCGTCAGCCTCTCTGGGACCCTGGGTGAGTCCACGTTGCCCTGCAGCCCCTTCCTGGCATACCTTGGGCAGGCATTGCCCTTGCACGGGTTCTCACAGGGTCTCACCTAAACACTCTTGGCCATTCAGCAACTGACCACTGCCCACCTTCAGAGCTGGAAAACTTGAGGCTCCAAGCTCTTCAGCCTAGAGAATCTTGAGCACTGGCCACAGGGCCTGAGAATAGGAGGGAAGGAGGCTGTGTCTAGAGGAGACAGCAGATGCCCAGCCAGGACTGAGGCACCCAGAGGATGCACTGAGGCCTCAGAGGTGGAGTCGAGAGGGTTATAGGAATTTGGAGAAGAGAGGGACTGCTGACGTGTCACCTACTCTCTGAGTGTCACTAGTGGACAAATCACTGGAGCCAGCTCCTACCACTTGAATGTTGTCTGTCAGAGGGGGTCCTGCTGGTGGCTTGAAATAGACCACGACAGAAATGTTTACACCACAGAAATTGGCAAACGCTATAGGTCAAGTACCAGAGACCAGAGCCGTTGTTATTTATTTATTTATTATTTATTTAACTCAATGTATATGTAGAAACATGTTCTCACTCTGTCATCCCGGTGGAGTGCAGTAATGCCATCATGGCTCACTGCAGCCTCAACTTCCCAAGCTCAAGCAATCCTCCTACCTCAGCCTCCCGAGTAGCTAGGACCACAGGTGTGCACCACCATGCTTGGCTAATTAAAAACAATTTTTTTTTGTAGAGACAGTCTCACTGTGTTACCCAGGCTGGTCTCAAACTCCTGAGCTTCAGTAATCTTCCTACCTCGGCCTCCCAAAGTGCTGGGATTACAGGTGTGAGCCACCTCACCGGCCACCAGAGCTATTGTTAAACACTGACCAGCACACCATTGCCTGAAACCTAGGAGACCTCTTACTGTGTACACCGGGTGCACACAGTAGGTCCTCACTGTGATTTTTAACTGAGCAGAGTCAATGGGGCAATCTAGAGTTTTACTTCATTCGTTACTGAGGACCCACTGTGTGCCGGGTGTGCTGGGTGCTAGGGCTACCACGATAAACAAGACACCGTTCCCTCAGAGGACAGACAGGCCGTGTGGCAGTGGTCTCGCTGTAAAGCACAAGCTGTGATGGAGGAGGGACTTGGAAAGGGCCCAGTGCTAGATGCAGCTCATCAAAGGTAATGGGGAAGGCTGAGGAACGTCTGCTGGACCGGAGGAGGCAGCAGGCCAGGGGCTGGCCACGGTGTGCCAACACTGAATGTGCCAGTGCCACTGTCTCAGTCCCCACCTTCTGTCCTTCTGGCTTGAGTGGGAAGTCCCAGGTTTGAAACCACAGCTTGTTTTTAGCTGTGCTACCTGGGGTAGACCACACACCCTAGCCTCTGTAAAATAGGGAAGGGCTGGGTGCAGTGGCTCACACCTATAATTCCCAGCACTTTGGGAGGCCAAGGTGGGAGGATTGACTGAACCCAGGAATTTGAGGCCATCCTGAGCAACACAGGGAGCCCCTGTCTCTACAAAATATAAAAAATTAGCTGGGCTACTTGGGAGACTGAAGTGGGAAGATTGCCTGAGCCCAGGATGTCGAGACTGCAGTGAGCTATGGTCATGCCACTGCACTCCAGCCTGGGCGACACAGCAAGACCGTATCTCAAAACTAAATAAAATTGAAATGCAGACTGGGCACAGTGGCTCACACCTGTAATCCCAGCACTTTGGGAGGCTGAGGCAGGCAGATCATTTGAGGTCAGGAGTTCGAGACCAGCCTGGCCAACATGGTGAAACCCCATCTCTACTAAAAATAAAAAAATTAGCCAGGCATGGTGGTGGGGGCCTGTTATCCCAGCTACTTGGGAGGCTGAGGCAGGAGAATCACTTGAACCTGGGAGGCGGGGGTTGCAGTGAGCTGAGATCACACCACTGCACTCCAGCCTGGGCAACATAGCAAGACTCTGTCTGAAAAAAAAGTAAAATAAAATAAAAATACAACAACAACAAACCAAAATAAATACGTAAGGCCAGGCACAGTGGCTCCCGCCTGTAATCCCAGCACTTTGGGAGGCTGAGGCGGGCAGCTCACAAGGTCAGGAGATCGAGACCATCCTGGCTAACACGGTGAAACCCCAACTCTACTAAAAATACAAAAAATTAGCTGGGTGTGGTGGTGGGCACCTGTAGTCCCAGCTACTCCAGAGGCTGAGGTGGGAGAATGGCATGAACCCGGGAGGTGGAGCTTGCAATGAGTCGAGATTGCGCCACTGCACTCCAGCCTGGGCGACACAGCGAGACTCCGTCTCAAAAAAATAATAATAAATAAATACATAAATACACAAATACATAAATAACATAGCGAGGGAATCCCCACCTCTCCAGGTGAGGGTGCAGGTGGGAAAGTGCTTGCCTTTGCTGAGCGTCTCCCCATTCATGTGCCCACCTCCGCCCCCCAGCAAACCGCTGCAAGAAGGCCCCAGTGAAGAGCTGCACGGAGTGTGTCCGTGTGGATAAGGACTGCGCCTACTGCACGGACGAGGTGAGGACCTGGCCTGGGTCGGTGTGGAACGGGCAAGGGTCGGGAATAGCTGGTGGAAATGAATCTCGGGTTGGGGCAGCCAGGGAATGGGTGCTGCCCCCACTGACCCTCTGTCCTTCTGGCCAGATGTTCAGGGACCGGCGCTGCAACACCCAGGCAGAGCTGCTGGCCGCAGGCTGTCAGCGCGAGAGCATCGTGGTCATGGAGAGCAGCTTCCAGATTACAGAGGTGCCTGGTGCGGGACTGGGGTGGGGGCTCCCCATGCTCAGCCTGGCTATTTATGGGGGTGTATAGTGCCCCTTGGCCGGGCTGGGCCCCCATCGGGCCTCTGGAGTGACCCTCCAGCCAGCTGTCCCCTTCCACTGGCTGCAGGAGACCCAGATTGACACCACCCTGCGGCGCAGCCAGATGTCCCCCCAGGGCCTGCGGGTCCGGCTGCGGCCCGGTGAGGAGCGGCACTTTGAGCTGGAGGTGTTTGAGCCCCGGGAGAGCCCCGTGGACCTGTACATCCTCATGGACTTCTCCAACTCCATGTCCGATGATCTGGACAACCTCAAGAAGATGGGGCAAAACCTGGGTACAGCAGGGCCAGAGTGGAGGACAGCAGGACAGGAGGGGGACAGGGTGGGCGTCTGCTTGGGAGGCCAGGACTCAGGACAGCTGTACCCACCCAGAAGGAAACACAGGACATTTGAGCCCCCCAAAACCTTCCCTTCCATTCTCAGGGGAATAATCTCAGCCAGACCCTATTCACCACTGGGGACTTCTGAGAAGGCCCAGGGCAAGCAGGCAGTGGAGCCATCTGGCCCTGACAAGGAGGGTACCCCTGCCAAGAGGCTGTGGGGAAGCCTCTGCTCCTCAGAGCTGGGTTGCATTCCCAGCCACCCTGCCCTTGCCGTGTGTGTAACTCCAGACCCCCAGGCCCATTTCCCTCATCCGTAAATAGAAACAGACGATGTTGTGAGCATGAACCTTTGTCCAGCATGCAAAGTGTTAACTTCCCTCTTCCTCCCTTCTGAGCCAGCCTTTGGTGGGGGGGCCCATGTTTATGCCGGGCATCAGGGCTCAGCTATCCCCTCTCTGTCTTGTTGACATCCAGCTCAGGTCCTGAGCCAGCTCACCAGTGACTACACTATTGGATTTGGCAAGTTTGTGGACAAAGTCAGCGTCCCGCAGACAGACATGAGGCCTGAGAAGTAAGTGATTGGGTCCGCCCCATGGGTGGGCAAGGGTCCAGGCCATGTGATCCCCACTCCTCTCTCATCCACAACTTAAAATTCTTCTACGGCCTGGCATGGTGGCTCACACCTGTAATCCCAGCACTTTGGGAGGCCAGGGTGGGCAGATCAGCTGAGGTCAGAAGTTCAAGACCAGCCTGGGCAACATGGCAAAACCCTGTCTCTATTAAAAAAAAAACAAAAATCGGCTGGGCACGGTGGCTCACGCCTGTAATCCCAGCATTTTGGGAGGCCAAGGCGGGCGGATCATGAGGTCAGATCGAGACCATCCTAGCCAACATGGTGAAACCCCGTCTCTACTAAAAATACCAAAAAATTAGCC